TTCTTAAAGATGCAATGTTAAATATTAACCGCACCGGACTAACTGTACCACAAGATGTTTTCCCTATGAAAACACTTCGCGTATTAGAAGAAAGGTAACATATATCATCATCAACGTACAGCAAGATACAGAGAAGTGAACTTCATTGATCTCTACCGTGTTCTCAGCGTACACAAAGTAAGTAGGAAAGTCCAAGATGGAGAGGGTTTGGGCCTAACTGAAGGGAGACAAAGAAAGAAAGAACCTCTATGGTCAACACATAGAGTGCGCAACCTAGCTGCATACATAGTATTTGAAGCATTCTAGCCTGATAGGAAATGATAACAAAAACGGCACTGCTGTTGAGCAGTTGCTATATCTTTCACTGAGTCCAACCAACCAGTTTCAGAATCCTCCGGACCCCAACCTCTAAGACGAGAGACGTCTAATCTATCTTATTGTTGTGTGCATTTCTTGATGCTTCCTTTCCACATCATCTGTTGACCTCCACGTGGTTTCCTCCAACCTGGAGCCGCAATTTCGCATGAGGAGCGGTGCGGTAGATGACAGTTGGGCGTGCGTAATACGTGTCTTAACCAGCGAAGCCTAGTGAATTGACTTCTATTTGATAACGAATGTTCCACCAAACACGCGACCTTTTACCTTAGAGTTGCTTACACGATCACTCCATCCGACGAGCGCCAAACCACGTAAATATGAGCAGACGATGAATATCTTCCACGAGCAAATTAAGAGTCTCGCAACCATAAAGCAACACTGACCGCGCACTGGTGCAGTACACACGACCTTCCAATCTCAACAAAACATCACGTCTGCACCAAAGGTTTCTCTGTCCTGCGTAAGCTACTTGTGCCTTCGAAATGCCAGCGGTTACTTCATTGACTTTGCTACCGTCATTTTTCACGTAACTACTTGAGTAGGAGAAACGAGCGACTATAATTAGTTCTTGACTATCAATAATCAGAACCGAGGATGGATAATCTTACATGGAACTTCCTTATCTATTTCCACTCCTTTTGTTCTTTCAAAGCACTCGTCATTTGCTTCGGGTCGATAGGGCAGATAACGGTTCTAAATTTAGTCATAACTCGTATTCGTGACGTTTTGTCGAATCACGCCGATCGATTCAAAACAATGCTGTTTTAGCTCAGGAAATCAAGGCGTATTTAGCAAGAAACAAATTGAGATGAACACATTCAAAACAGTTATATACTCCCTGGGCTTGAGGGTATGTTATGTCTTACCAAGACGTACGATCGATCGTGTGCCTCTTTACTAGGCCCTAACTACAATACGAAGACAGAACTCGGCTGAGAAAACGAGTCAGAATGTATTATTGATCATGAAGCAATACGCAAATATATGCGGTAAATTGGGCATACGAGAAATGACGTGATACCGCACCATTCGGATCACGTCATTGACACTCCGGTTGATTGATCGGACGACAGATGTCTGATTCGTCTTAGTCATCCAATCCGGAATCGATTTGCCTTTGGTCGTCACGAACGCACTTGTGGTGTGACGTGGATCGATGCGTGGCCTCGCGGGTTATGTGCGTTCCGTCCTAACGGGGGAGTTGTGCACAATTTATTTTCACGAAAACTGGAGATCCATACACTCATAGTACAATTCAGTTGATTAAGAACTAAACAGTCTCCGTCTTGGTTTCCAATTCGTTGTGATAGCTTCGTTATCTGTTCATTTTGTTCATTTGTTCATTTTCTCCTGTTTGCCAAACTTGTTTGAAGACATTTCCATACCGGATGAGGGGACCTTTTCAGCGACCCTTCGCAAGTACTGAAGGTATTACCTCGACTGGTTATGAAACGTTTGCAAGCAAATTGCCAATTGCTTGGTGAATAGGTGAAATGGAATTCAGTTCACCCGAGCTACGAGAATCGAGTTTTTCAGTAATTTGTGAAACAATTGTGTATTTACGCATCGTGATCCCGTGGCGACCTCCGTTTTACTTCCTTATTGTTTATTGTTTCAGGATAAAGGCCGTTTTTATCACATTTGCATCCTATACATTTGGTAAAACAGACAATTGATAACTCTGACATTTGAAGAGGGAAGCCAAAAACATGGATTTGCACAATGTGTCCCTGGTCGTTTCGCTGCATGTGCATACACATGCAGTCGAAGTGATTTTTATTCACCGAGCCGAAGCGATTCATACTCTCAAACCCGATCTAAGCAAAAAAGACTGGTTAGTCACATGATTGACCCCCACACCCTATCCCGTTCTTTCTATTCGTGTGTCGTGTTGTCCGTTGTGATTAGTGATCTTTTGTATTTGTATGTGTATTTGTGTAACTTGTGTAAGCATATATGCTTACATTTCAGTTAAAAATGTACACTGTTCATCACACGGAATGAAATAATAATAATAATAATAATAATAATAATAATAATAATAAAGTATGACACCAAAGATAAATAATGTCGCTGATATTTGTTTAATCTACAAAACTTTCGACGAAGTTCACTTGCAACCTGTTCCTTTTTGGTTAGGAGTCAGGCCAGGTAGGTGTAGTGATCCAGGACTACGTGATGATATCTACCCTCGACACCTGCGATCAATCAAATTTGAAAGGTGACGTCAATGACACGCGTACNAGCGTATAAAGTTACATAACAGTTAAAAGAAAGAAGTCAACGGAAAAACCTCCTAACCCTTTCAATACCACAAACTACGTTGGAATTATCAATATATATATACTCATTTATACCGGTTCAGTCCCATCCGACGTAAAAGGATTCCGAACGAATGGCTAGCATCTAGAGTAGGGCGAAACCTGCACCATGCATACAACAGAGTGGGGTAGGCAGATTTCGACAAATTACACACAGACACACACACACACATTTCAAAATGACGTATACCCCCAACATTCATTTAGAAGAATGTCGTAGATGGACCATAACCACCAAAGACAACGACAGTTGCAGACGAACAGGATTGTTGGCACGGTCACCACTGAAAGTTGATGTGATTCGCGAGGAACTCGAAAAATGGGGAGAAAAGATTGTTATCCAACCCAATCTAGTCTCTTCCCTATAAACCGTCATTCTCAACAGGGCTCGAAATTGCAATGCAAACTGTGTTTCTACCTGCACAATGATTACCCAATAATTCGTTTGTTTCTGTGCAGTGTGGTGAGCCGGTTGAGTGACCTGGTGGTTATCACATACAATGAAATTCATTTGCACGAAAAACATTTATCCACAACATGCTGCTCTATTTGTCAAAGCTTTAATGACAATTTCAAAGTCAAACATTGAGAGTCCCTCGGAATTGATCAAATTTCCCAACTCAGCAACTGAGCAG